TGAATGGACAAAGAAAATGTGATTTTTATACACAATGGAATATTAATAATAATTAATAATAAACAATATTATTAGCATTAAAAGAGAATAAAAATCATGGCATTTGCAGGTAAATGGATGGAGCTGGAGAATATAATGCTAAGTGAAATTAGCCAGTCCCCCAAAACCAAATGCTAAATGAGTTCTCTGGTTTAAGGATGCTGATTCATAATATGCTGCTGGGGGGTGGGGGTAGGGATGGGAGGAATGGAGGAACTTTAGATAGGGGAAAGGAGAGGGAGGGAACAGATAGTGGAAGGAGATGGACTTCATTACCCCAAGGACATGTATGAAGACACGAATGGTGTGCTCTACTTTGTGTATACCAGAGACATGAAATGTTGTGCTCTATATGTGTACTATGAATTGAAATGCATTCTGCTGTCATGTATAACAAATTAGAATAAATAAGTAAAAGGAAAAAAACCCAATGCAACAAAAACATTTTGATAGGGCTTGTGGCTACAACCAGGGGATATCAAACATGCTAGAATTGCATTTGGGGCTTTAAGATTAAATGTCAAACACCTCAAATTTTACAGGCAAAACAAGCATCAGTGTATAAGATCTCTTGATTTAATTTTCAAAATGTCTTTCTTAAACTACATACTAGTGGTTTAATGAAACATTCACATCAGGCATGTTTGGCCACAGATGTAAACGTGGAGAACTGATTTATACAGATGTTTAAAATTATGTGCAAGGTTTCTTTCAGACTTAAATAGTATACATAATTCATGCATCTCAAGCTCCTACAATATCAATAGAACCAATTTTATCACTTCCACAGCAGCCATTCTAGAAGATTGCTTTTCCTAACCTGGATAATATTTCAGGCTCCTGCATTTAAAAGCTCTGGTAGGCAACTGCAAGTTTCCAACCTTGTCCTCCCCCATCAGACATGTGGCAGCCTCTATCTTTAGAAACATTTAATAGCACTTTAACTTCCAACATTGCAGGTGCTACCCATTTTTACTTTATATGGTTCCTATAAATTGATGACAATCAGAATTCATGCTAATTAAGAGACTGAGTTTATTCTCTTAGGCTGGAAAATAACCCCTTCTCCCTCACCACACACCAGTAGTTAATAAATGATTTTGGTGCAAATGTGAAGTAAATCATGTGTAGGATATAGTCTCCAAAGAAGAATGATCAATTCACTAGTTTCTGAATCTGAACCATTTTAAGCTCCTATCAGCACTAGAAAGAGCATTTGTTATTTCTATTTTGTATGTCCCTATAATTCCAGATTTATTTTATTAAGGAAAAAAACTCACATTCAGGGGATATGGTAAGGCATAACTATAATCTGTGACTTGTGAAGCAGAGGCAGGAAGATGACAAGTTAAAGGCCAGCCTGGACAACTTAGACCCTATCTCAAAACAAAAAAATTTAAAAAGTGCTGGAGATGTAGCTCAGTGGTGGAGCACCCGCCCAACAATGAGCAAGTTCAATAGTACTACAAACAAACAAACGAAA